CCCACTAACCCCCCTCCCCACCCCACCCCCGTGCCGTGCGAGAGTGTAATTTTAGTTTGATACCAGCGCAATAGCCGTCTGCTCTCCTTTCGATGTAATAACGAAAGACCAGAGAAGGAGAGAGAGAAAGAGAGAGATTGAAAAAGAGAGAAAGAGAGAGAAGGGAAAGGCAGCACTACTTATCCCTTTTCGTATTTTCCTTTACAGCGACTCTCCTTGCTCCCGATCGAGACAAAGCCGCAGGTATTACCTTATTTCCCCAGCGTCTTTCCCCTTCTATCGTGCAAATCCTTCTTACGCGAGTGTTCGCCCGTAACCCATTCTACTATCGCGCACTCGGCTTTCTCGCTCTTTCCTCTCATCTCTACCGTCTCTCGCCTGATGTTTACGCCGGAACAACCTATTCGCGTATTATATTCTCAATGGATTTCGCATTCTTCATCCCGCGCGGGTGCACGAGACGAAACTCTCGATATGTAGAGATAAGAGAGCGAGGTAATGATAAAAAGGTAGGCACTGGATTTTCTTTCCTTCTCGATAATATTTAATGTGAAAATCTCATAGAATGAAGATTATTATAATATAATTATTATTTTATTATTAGATCGAAATTACATCGTGCGAAATTTTTGTTGATTTTCAAACATTTTAATCGTTTTACATTAAATTCTTATTTTAGATCCTGACGTAGATCACAGTAAAATCCTATTTTGTTTCTCTCTAATACTTACGCTACACGCAATGTCGCGCGTTAGTTCCTACAGTGATAAGGATCGTTTGATCACGCAAAGAATATCGCGTCGACAGATTTACACGCGACAAACGAGTGTAACATTTCATCATGGACGCTAACATCGTCGTATGATCCCGTCAATCCCCAATGAGTGAGAGTGCGATGCATGCACTCTCGATCGATCCGTCGGACGGGACGGAAAGAGAGACGGATGTAGAGAGCCTGCGGCAAAAAAGTAGGATAACATACGTCCGTGCACGCGACGGGAGAGACGGACGGATGGACGGACGGACGGACGGACGGACAACCCTCCAACCCTCGTGCACCTCGCGCCAAGAGAATGAGGAAGAGAGAAAAAGAGAGAGAGAGAGAGAGAGAAAAAGAGAAAGAGAGACAAAAAGAGAGAAAGAGGGAAGGGAGATTGCGGAAAGGTCGCTGGTGGGGTTGGTTGCCATTGTAATGGCGTGTGCCATGGTCCCCATGTGCCAACCACCCCGGCAGCTGAGCCCTTCCTGGTACGCTCTACTGTTAAATACGCTGAAACGAGCAAACCATTCGCGAGAGTTAAACTCATAGTTATCACCCGAATCAATATATACTATACACACACACACATACACACGTACATATATATAAATATGTGTGTGTACCGATAAATCGAACGTGCCTTCTTTAAATCCTCTCTCGTAAACGGGCGAATGCTTGCAATTGAAAGAAAATGCGACCGTTTTGTTCGACCGTCGTCGAAATCGCCAGTAACGCCGAGATCTTCATTATTGAAGCCAAAACGAAAGTTACAGCAGCTTTTCTCTTTAAAGGCTTCAGTAGATCGTAAGAAAATCGCCATGGGATCGTAGCCTTCTAGGCTACGAAACCTAGCGTCATGATTTCTCCGACGAAATACGCAACTCGATTAAGAAATCGCGGGCAAATCGAATATCCGTGATTGTGGCGAAACAACTGAATTATTTCCTTATTCGCCGAAGTTACAATTCAGCCCGTTCATTAGTACGTACAGCAACGCTGGCAGCGAGACAAGGGAGAACAGAGATGGGGTAGAAACGCCTCTCGAATACCGACGACGGGAAGTCACCGAAGTATCGTAACTACCCAGTAATTAAGTACGGATGCCGAAGTGGCGGCCAATGGAGCGGGCACCGGGATAAAGAAGATGCAAAACCAAACTCCCGCCTACAAAGAGGTGGAGCGCGAGCGGTTTTTTATTTAAACCGAGTCGTAATTCAATCCGGAGACAAACGTGCCACAATAAGAACGAGGCAGACGAGGGTAACTAGATGAGGGTAGGTCACTATGTCTTCAGACAGGGTGAAAAATAGCTTGACACTGTTACGAAATGAAAATAACGCTTCCTTACCAGTGCTCGCGTACATTCGAGATGGTATCAATGTATGACAGAAAAACAACAGAAAGGAGGGGAGAGAAAGCGTATAAATTGATAACGAGGAGGGCAGGAGCTGGAATCCGCAACCGGATGAGGCGCGGACGGTGAGAGAGGAAGAGAATGAAGCGAACCGAGAGGGAAGAGACAGGATGCGCGCGCGCACAGCTAGGGGAATCAAAATATAATTACACAAAGGTAAGCCGTAACACGGAGACAGAATCGCGGGGAAATAGACGGGTCTCATTAAAATTGGAGAGCTGTTTCGAAACTACGAGACTGCCGTGTCGGTTGCAGCCTCGTCACCGTCGAGCATTACCTTTCCCTAACTCGGGCCCATCTCTCTCCGCATCTTCCCTTCGCGTCCTTCTATCTTCGTGCTGCAACGCGGTCCCGTGAAAGGTTGAAACAAAAAGAAACCTTACCCGCGCCGCTTTCAGACGGCTGTTAAGGAAAAACTACGTATCATACAATGATGTTCAACTATTTTTGCAATTTACCGAGATGATAATATTTATTGAAAATATCATAAAATACGATATCTGTTAGAAATCGAATTTCAATTTAGATTTATATATAGAAATTTTCTAATTCTAGCTATGTGATATGTGCTAATAGATTATTTATTCAGTTCACAATCTAGTTTGGAGTGAATATATGATTAATTTAACAACTGATCTCACGATACAAATAACCTCATAGTTTTAATAATATATATCTTGATAAGTGCATTATTATGCTTCAGCAACGTATTTTACAAAATTTTACAAAATTACTGAAATTGCACCGCGGTTGATTCGTATCGGTACAAATTTAAGTCCGGCCTCTTAATGTATGTAGACATGGAATTATTTGATTCAGTGGACGTGCATCAATGCGAGCGAATGCATTTGATAAAATCATTTTCCTTGCCTGCCGTTTATTTCGTCGAGCTAAATCGATACGATAATTCAACGAAAAACTTTCTCAAAAAGAATGAGAGCATAATTGAAAGAAAAATATTCAAAATTTCTAAAAATATATGTACATATGTATATATATACAATATGTATAAACCTGACAATTTAATTAGTATCATTGAAATATATACCTGCAATATTAAAGTTAATGCTTTGGTTTGACAAAGCTATTATGTTTTGCTTAATGCATAATTATAAATTGCTTTAATTGATTTATAAATGCCAAATTCTTGAAATAATAATAGTCAAATTATCCAGCTTCTATCTGTTTTAAAGTCTCTCTGCTTTCAGATAAGCACCATACAAACAACTAATTTCACATTAGCGAAGGTATACACAATATCTTGATGAAAGTTTATGAGAATATTCGTATTGTTTAGAATATAGAATTTTCCTCGGTATTTCCGCGGATGTAACAATGGAAAATCGTTGAGTTGTGGACGCCGTGAGCCGCGCAACTCGGCAAAGTTGGAAGGGAGGATAATTCGAAAGATTAACGAGCTATTTCCAGGCAAAAACTCGAACGACCATTCGTCAACCATAAATTCCGCGTGCTTACAAAAATAAAAATGCGTTCGCCCTCCTCCTCTATGCGCCGGGATTGTGTGCAGCTTATCGGCCGGATATTTATTGTAAAATACCTACGTTGCCCCCCTCGTCTCCGACCCCATACCCGGCTACGGTCAGGCGAGCGGATTGCGTCCATTTTTCCTGCAAATTAAATAAACGGAGACCGCCGAAAGGTAACGTTGGCGCTTTGTAGAGCCCGGTAAAGTCCGTTATTTTCAGAGCCGGCGAATTTCTAACCGCGCGGATTTTCTGCGACAGCCGCGCGCTTTCTATCTTTTTCTCTCTCTCTCTCTCTCTCTTTCGTCTCTACCTCGTAGCCAAGTTAAGCTTTATACGGCTATGTGGACAACTAGCGCGTTTGAAATTTTTGCCACCATATCGCGCGCGTCCTCCATTATTGATAAGTATCGAATAACATGACTTCTCCATTACAAAATCGGCTCCGGAATAACGAAGCGGCCGCCGGGACCGAATTTCCGCGCGGTATCGCACGGCGCTCGGCTTTCCGACTGATGCACAATTCATGAAGACGATCCAACCGGTCTCGGAGCGTTGTCTCATTTTTCCAAATACCCCTCGAAAATCCCAACCATACCCTTAGTACCGCGCGACGACAGTAAAGCTTTCCTCTCTGGCCTCTGCTCTTTTCCGCGTATCATTCTCTCTCGTCTCGCCCACCATTTCCCCTCACCGTACCTCGAGTACCGTACAAAGGTATCGCGTAACGCGTTCCTGTCGTAATTCGAGCATCGTGGATCGAATGATGGCGTTGGATAGCCCGTTGTCAAGGAGAGGCTGTGACTGGTAATCGGGCACGTCGGTGTTAAAGTCCCAGTTTCCGGGGCAAGTTTCCGCCGCGGAAACAGCCCGAAACACGTCCACGAGCGCTGTCTCATTGTATCAGGTTCGTCGACGTCTGGCTGGTGCATCGCGCGGGAGGATGGGGACAGCAAAAGAGGAAACGGGGAGAGGAAACGGCGCACAGTAGGGTGTTGCATCGGGTAGGTGGAAGGAGAGGATGGCTTACGGTCGACCAACAAAGGCCGTCGATCGTCGACGTCGGCTCATCCTCTCGGCGATCGACGTGAATGCCCGCGAAATTTATTGTTTCGCCGCGGCTTAGCACGCTCTCGCACGATCCCTTCCCTGACTTCCCTTCCCTGACTTCCCTTCCCTCATTTCCCTGTACAGCCCTTCATCCCCCTCTCTCTCTCTCTCTCTCTCTCTCTCTCTCTCTCTCTCTTTCGTCTCTATCTCGTAGCCAAGTTAAGCTTTATACGACTATGTGGACAACTAGCGCGTTTGAAATTTTTGCCACCATATCGCGCGCGTCCTCCATTATTGATAAGTATCGAATAACATGACTTCTCCATTACAAAATCGGCTCCGGAATAACGAAGCGGCCGCCGGGACCGAATTTCCGCGCGGTATCGCACGGCGCTCGGCTTTCCGACTGATGCACAATTCATGAAGACGATCCAACCGGTCTCGGAGCGTTGTCTCATTTTTCCAAATACCCCTCGAAAATCCCAACCATACCCTTAGTACCGCGCGACGACAGTAAAGCTTTCCTCTCTGGCCTCTGCTCTTTTCCGCGTATCATTCTCTCTCGTCTCGCCCACCATTTCCCCTCACCGTACCTCGAGTACCGTACAAAGGTATCGCGTAACGCGTTCCTGTCGTAATTCGAGCATCGTGGATCGAATGATGGCGTTGGATAGCCCGTTGTCAAGGAGAGGCTGTGACTGGTAATCGGGCACGTCGGTGTTAAAGTCCCAGTTTCCGGGGCAAGTTTCCGCCGCGGAAACAGCCCGAAACACGTCCACGAGCGCTGTCTCATTGTATCAGGTTCGTCGACGTCTGGCTGGTGCATCGCGCGGGAGGATGGGGACAGCAAAAGAGGAAACGGGGAGAGGAAACGGCGCACAGTAGGGTGTTGCATCGGGTAGGTGGAAGGAGAGGATGGCTTACGGTCGACCAACAAAGGCCGTCGATCGTCGACGTCGGCTCATCCTCTCGGCGATCGACGTGAATGCCCGCGAAATTTATTGTTTCGCCGCGGCTTAGCACGCTCTCGCACGATCCCTTCCCTGACTTCCCTTCCCTGACTTCCCTTCCCTCATTTCCCTGTACAGCCCTTCATCCCCCCCTCTCTCTCTCTCTCTCTCTCTCTCTCTCGCGCGCGCTTCTCCGCGCGACCCTGACCGCGGCCCCCGGACGCCATATACTACGTCGCGGGGGACAAAAGAATAAATCCTGATTAATCTCCCGGTCGCGCTTCGAAAGCCGCCGAGGGTGTGCTTGCACGCGTGCGCGCGCGTGCTCTCGCTTCATCGTTACCGCCGGAATTACGCTTCACTCGACGCAACGAGTTCTACGTGTCCTTGCGCGGCTGAAAAATTAATGAGCGCCCGGCCGCTTGGATTTAGTGGCCGGCGACTGCGGTATTTCGTAAAAATAATTTCGTAACGTTGGCGCGCGACGTCGTGCCACCGCTAAATGACATTTCGCAGAAACGTGGACGTTATATAATAGTTTTTCTCTCTAACGTTTGTATGAGAACCAGATTAAAAATTTTAATACGCTGCCAACGTGGAATTTTATTTCTGATGTTTCTCTGAAAAAGTTACTTTTAATTTTTGTCGTGGAGCTTCTCGTAATCCAAGACAAACTTTTTATAAATTTTCAAAATAATTCGTAATCTCTTCTCCAACTGGGTTTCTTTTTAATTAATTTAGAATTCTGTATCGCGTGTTTTGAGTCTTACCCTTGTGTAGTCCCGTATATTTATCCTTGAGAACGGTGAATTCGTAGATCTTGCCGAATTCCTCGAACATTGGACGAAGGGCGTCCTCTTCGAGATGACGCGGTATCTGTCCGACAAAGAGCTTGATGGCGCCTTCACCGTTGCTGGATGATGGCGACGTCGAGACGGGTATGAGCATTTCTTAGCTCAAATAAGAAAAGGTTTCACGGAGCTAAGTTTCACTGTCACCTCACCAAAATTTGCCTTTCAACGCACGCACACCACCCTTGCAGCTTTTTTTCCTTTCACCTTCAAAGACGGACACCGGTCACCACGTGGCCTCGAGCGACGATGAAGCTCGCTGATTACTTATCGCCTCGCACATAAAGCGCGACCGCAACGGAGTCAGTGAGTACTTGACATATGAAGGAGGCAGAAAGAGGGGAGATCGACCGTCACGGAGGTACTTGTTAACTCTCGTCTTCGAGCGAATGGAGGGTTGTCGTGAAACGGGGGCGTAATTCGCCGAAAACGGCGGTCACGAAGCAGCGAGCAGTTAACGGGTGGTCGGTAGAGTGGTCTGGTTTTAATCAGGAGCTCGATAAAAAATACACGATAGCGTAATCTTCGTAGGAACGAAAAATAGAGCGAGGCGCGCTGGCGGAAAACGGCAAGAGAATGGAGAAGCGAGATAGGACGACCGTACGAAGAGGATAAAAAGCGAATAATGCGATGAGCGGACAGGAAAGTATTGTATTTAACAAGAAAGAGAGAGGAATAGAGAATGGGAGAAAAAGTAGATGGAAGAAAGTCTAATGTAATAATGTGCAACAATTAATGAATTTTGCAACGAGGAATATAATTAAATAGTCAATAGCCGTCGAAGATGAACTCGTCAAAATTATTACAGTATATATGATTGTTTCGCAACACTATGTATCCACGTAAAATGAAAATATAATCGAATAATCGATACCGCTGTTTGTCGTTGTTTTTTTTTAAGTCATTACTGATGTGTGTGGTTTATTTTATTATAATTATTTTATTAATATTATATTGCGTCAAGCAGTACAAAGTGCACTCTTCATGCACGTTGACACCTACGCGTTTGCTCACAGCTGATCGGAGCTTACGGATAGACGATTTCACGTATGCGCATGTGCACGAGCACCAGTTGCACAAGGCTACGCAAGAAATCATCCGATGAAAACGGTATCGATATCACTAAATATACATATATCGCTTATGATAATAACAAAATGTTTCTCGAATTCAAGATGTTTTTGATATTTTCAATACGAAAATGTTTAGTCGAAAGTGTTTAGAAATATATCCAATAACAAAGATATTATTACAAATACGCCGGTTACGATACTACACTTTCACAGCACAAACATCTCTATTTAAATGTGACGGCAAAGTATTCTGCTATCCTCGAACCACGAAATTTAGCGTTATCAGCCGAAAACTCAGTAACTTTATCTTAAGTAAACTTTAGCATCCAAGAGCGATGACTTGTAGAGAGTGACTCCCACGCACGTAGCAACTCGAAATCGATTCGAGTATTTCCCCTTTAATTCTTAATTTCGTATACGTAGCTGTTCTAGTTTCCGAGACCCAGTTTATCACGTTGAATATCTCTGTCCGGATGACAGATGCGCAGATTACTTCCGCCGCGTGACCGTTCGCCGATGGTGATCGGTTGCTTTACCTATGACGATATCCTAAACTAAAACGATCACAAGTACAGCACGTTCACGATCACGAGAGAACAACAGAACTACGACACGCTGCACGAGACACGAGACAACACTGATGGTTGAACGACCCTCGGCCCGATCGGCACCGCACACCCTGACGCTACCGTCCACGGGGAAATTACATATATACACACACATACACACCCACACAAATACATACAAACATATCCCTTACCCCTCTTGTCCTGCGAGCCGCCCCTGTGACGACGTCACCCCATCTCTATGCACGAGGGGCGCATTTTCCCCTGTGCCGAGACCTTGCCGGGCAAAGCGAGGGCGTCTTTGCTCCCTCTTATTAGCCTACCCACCATCCCTCGTAGCATGTGCACCATCCATTTTCACGGACCGCCCTTAATCTCTGATGCCCCATTCACCCGAATTCGCATCGAAATTGGATTCTGGCAGTACGGATCTTCGAATCATGCCAAGGCGGCGATTATCGAGCATGATAGTATTAGAACGAAAGATGGACGACATCTCTAAAAAGAGATAACAGTCGTACAATATAATTTAAAAATAAAAAAGAGATTAAAATTTCAGTTTAAATCATAAAACATCTTTTTTAAAAAGAAAAATATAAAACTTTTAAATCAGATAACTTTTATACGAAAATGTCAATTGCATAATAACATAATTTCATGAAACAGCCGTATGCCAGCTTTTTAATACGATTATATCGTAAATCAGATTAACGAAAGGAAAGAAAAATACGGTGATATATTAACTCGTAGCACCGCGTACGCTGATCAATTAAATACGAAAGTTAATCGCGTTCGCATGACCTGATCTTTCATTCCTCCTCGCGTTCGATAAAAATATATCACAGCAATCGGCGTTACGCCGCTTTTATGGGCGCCGCTTTTGCTATAGCTGCGCTGAAAAGGGTACCTGGCATAATGGTCCCCTGTCTTGCAGGGGTTGGCGAGCTGAGTCATCGCCTCGTGCGATACTCAATCGCATCGTACTATGTCGACCCTTTCTGGTAAGCACGTCGCATACTTGGCCGAGTGCGTGCAAATGTGCACGCCTCTTTAATGGTGAGTCGCGCGTGTGTGGGTGACTCTCCATTTCTGCACGCAAGTGCCTCACACGCGGAAACGAGATTCGCGTCTCTATTCGCCGTATACAATAAAATCGGCGCTTTCGAAAACATTCGACTGGTAACGTTACGCGAAACGCGACGGTCTATTTATCTGGGTATCTTCCTCTCTTCCCCTCCCCCCTCACACTCTCTCTCTTTCTCTCTGAACACCGCGTTGCGCGAGCACGTGTGACAAGCTTTTTCGTTCCATTTCCTACGTTACAATATTCAGCCTCGTTGAAACGACAACTACCAGCCCAACCAGGCTGATATCTATAAATGCGAATATCCGCGATGCAAAATACCTGCATTTAAACATCACGGTTTGCGCGACGACCGGGCGCTGCCATTGTTGCCAGGAACACGGTGCCTGCATGTATACGCATGAGAAGCAACATCGGGCGCACGTATCTCCAAATTTAGTTAGAACATATGTGCCAGGCTTCACGCTTATCGATCCCCGTTCTTCTCTAAGGAGAAAACGAGGGTGGGCGAGGTTAATGCAACTCCTCGGGGGCGGAAAGAAAACATCGTTTTTTCCATCTCATGGAGGGAAAAACGCGATCGGCACAATGGTTTGCCCAAGTATTACGCTCGCAACGTTCAGCCGACCGGTGAAGTAGCTCTTTGTTTCTGTTTAAAAGCTACCTCGCTCGCACATCCAGGCTGTCGCGAGAAAGAATCGGGATGAAACAAACACCTCTTCACAAATATTCATCCCCTTAGTATAGAATTCAAGTATTGAAAATGATATCATGTTGCACACAAAGCGAATATATAAGTATATCTATAATTTACATAAAAACTCGCGCTAGTTTGTTCGTGCGTATATAAGAACACTATAACAAATTTTTTGTAAATTTTATTTGGAATTATTTAGTGTATACTAGCTTTTATTATAAATATGCTCTCAAAAAGATTGAGTTTTTATAAAGTAATAAAATAATGATAAAAAAATATTCAGAAAGTCTTTATAGAGATAAAATTATGCTAACTTATTATAATTTTTCTATAAGCGTGCTTTTTATATCGTTTTATATCATTCACGGCATTTCAATTTTTAAGTATTTAATCGACGCAATATATTAATAATGTGCGACGTAATTCTACTGCGCAACCTTCGCTATACTTTTATGAAAAATTTGATGTAGTTTGGAAAGCTTTTCGGGATTCCGCTGACATCGGGACAAGCTTGCTGTTACGTCAATCTCGAAATATTGGAGGATCAATGACGTGTCGCTCAATGCAACATGCAGCGACTCCGCCTGTAAATCTTATTGATTTATATTTTTCGCTATAATGAAACCATGGCGAGAAAGGTGCGAAGAATGTTCGACATCGACAACGCTCAACGTACACGCGATAAACTCGACGACGTTGATTTATAGTTGCGAGGAAATTGCCCGAAAGTGTACGAATTTCTCACCGAACGGCGGAGATGCGAAATGTGATCTGCAAAAAGTGCGCTATGGTCCGTAGATAATGTTACGATTAGGACAAAAAGCGCGAGCGGTATTATCGGTATTTCTATATAGGGTGTCTCACTAAATTTTTACGTTTAACAATTTCTTCAATAAATTCAAAATAATTTCTTAACAAAAGTTGAATTAATCACTATTTTGTTTTACAGCTTTAAACTCTTTAGATCTAATCTTTAAAATTGAAACTTTGTTAAAATAAGGCCGAAATTAAATGAATAATAATGTTTCATTATTCACTTTTATTCTCATCTACAGTTTAGTTTTTAGATCTCTAGGTTTTCAAGGATTCCTGTTTAAAAATCGATGATGTCTTCATATTTTTGTAAAAAGACAATTTTAAATTGCACGATATAAGAATCAATGAGTATAAAAAGAACTATTTGAAATTTTTAGACACCGTGTAGATAAAAGAGCGTTTTATTGGTTCTACGCAAACCGATACACACACGAATCGGGCAATACGAAAGAGAACTAACAGTTTTCAGAACTGGGAGATGGAACGCAACCGTTTTTCAGAGGAAAGTACTCTCGCCGGGGAATTAATCACGGCTTTCTCTTCCTATTGGGAGTATGTATATCTGACATTCTCGGGTTGTCAGAGACTGCAACATTTTCGGTAGCAGCGAGAATTACGAACTTAGCCAGCGGTCCGTTTTTTTCACCGCCCGATATACGCCAAAAGCGAGTTAAGTCACGCATGATTTATAGCGGGCACACTCTGCCGAGCCTACTCTCATCGTCACGGTATTACATAGTGTATACTCAGTTTATATATATACTATCCAACCAGCCCGACGTATCCCGGTAGTGGCGAAGACACCATCGCCGGGAAAGGCACCCAAAAAATATAACCCTGCGATATCAGACGCGCATGCCC